GTAGGGTCTAGAACCGATCAACCGCGATAAACGAGGGTTCACTGTAATCCACACAATTGAATGCCTTTGCACCATCAGCAAGTCACAGGTAAACAGCTTTCTGGTATTCTCTATTTTCAGTCAGGATCCATCTGACATCAACATTGATACACCTTGTTCCACACCCTCTTTTGAACAGAGCGTGAGTTTCTAGGTTTCCTGTTGCTGTACTGCTGTAGTGATTTTTGCATTATCTTCAGTAATATAAATGTGATATCAATGTGATATTAACTGTGATATCAATGATAGTGATCAATAATGCTCATGTTATTGGATCATCTTTCTTTGAAATGGGCACAAATACAGGTTTCTTCCAGTCGGTTGGAAGATGAGTGGCACCTCCAGTGCTGAATCAATTTGTTGAAGCATTTCAATTGGTATTCTGTCAATTCCTGGAGGCTTGTTTTTCACTAAGACCTCCAGTACAGCTTGGATTTTTTTCCCTTTCATATCATCTGTACCTGATATATGACATCCAGAAGACTCACGTAATTTCCACTGTTGCTAGCTCCGTGACTTTGAGGAATGAAATGCCCATGTGCTGGGGCGCTTGGACTATGTCCTGAGCCTGGTATCTATTTCTTGTCTACTAGCCACTCTCTATTCGACTGAGTTCCTTGGACATTGGGATGAACTAAGCAGGGTAGCCGGCACACAGAGGTGTTCAGGAGATGATTGCTGAATGGCCAAACAAGGCAAGACTCCAGGGGAGATGACTTAGCAGGGCAGCCTGGCCTCTTGTGTAAGAGATACAGTTCCCACAGGAAAGGGTCTAAGGAAGCGATCGCCGTCCTAGCCTCGCTGCTGGTTTTCCTCACCCTGTCCACTGGCTGGCAGGTGATGGCGTGCCCTGTCACATGGGATCCTGGACCCTCCTGTCTACCTCCCCTTCAGAATTCTTACCTTACCACGCAGGACTGGTCAGGAGCATCCTTGGGACCCCCACCACCCTGGCTTATTCCCATGTATCTCTCTCCCCAACCAGGCTATGAGGCTTGAGGAGGAAGACCTTACATCAAACTGCCCCCTACACAATGCAGAGTACAGAGGCTGGCACAGAGCAAACCTCAAAAGTGCCTCAACCTTGCACTCACTGTTCCTCTGCCTGAAATATTCCAGACACATGGCCATCGTCTCCTTCTCCTCTACTAACTAAAGCAGCCCCTACTCCACCTCTCCTATGCAGGGTGTTTTCAAAGTGAGTGTCTCTAGTTGGCATGTACCAGGTGTGTTGGATCCCTGACAAGGATGTCAGCCCCATGGGAGAGGGACCTTGACTGTCCTGTTCCCTGTATCCCCAGGAATTATTCCGCCCTCAAGGAGCATCAGCTGCAGGCTTATACCTGTGTAACCTGGCAGGTGAACAGTGTGCTTGCTGCAGCACTGACCAGTGAGCAACATGCAGCAGTGAAGGGGGAGGGCCATGTGCTAATTTTAAATGAAAAGCAAGCTGTAAAAAGAAGTACAGTAACATCTATACACCATAGTATAGTACAATATGCTAAGATGTGTGCAAAAAAAAGGAGGGATAATAAGAATATTGATTCACATTGAAGTAAAATACCCTGGACGTGCAATCAGGAAACTAATTGGAGTCAACATCTAGAGTGGGCAAGGAGAAGCAGGGTATCTGGGAAACAGAGAGTAGGAGACTTCTCAGTGTACCTGAGACTACCTAATAAGAAATATAGTTGGAAAAAAAGAAAATTTTATTAAGGACCTGCGTTAATATTCAAGAAGACTGTTGGTTAACATTATTATTCAAACTGTGTTTCTCATTTGTGAATATAACAAAATGCATATACAAGGGATACACAAAATTAAACAAACAGATGACTGCATGAATGTGCTCTCTTTTGATCCTAAAAGCACCCACGGCATGGATGGGACCAGGAGCCCCTTGGTATATGAGACATGTGGCCAGTTCAGAAAGATTATGATGTGAACCAGACTCCCCTCGACTCAGAGGAACCTCCAGGCCCCCATCCTCACGTGCCCTAGCAGCTCTGGTCCTCTCCACATGTTCTGACCCATGAAGTTCCTCCATCCCACGCACCCTACCCTCCCTGTATCACAGGATCGCACTGGGCCAGGTTCATTCTCTGTGTGCCTCAGCTTCCACCTCTGGAACAGGGGGGGCAGTGCTAGTGCCTGGCATTGCAAAGGGAGATCCTGGGAAGCGCACAGTAGGTGCTCATGAATACTAACTAACTCAGTGTGGTTACAATGTGTCCTCTTGTGTACTTAGCTTGGGTGGAAGGCAGGGGAGAGGCAGCAGATAGTGGAGAAGTCCACCAACTCTGGGCACAAGGACAAGAGGTAGCAGCAGAGATGGACTTCCCCCTTCAGGTAGGCCCTCCGGTCAGGTGAGCCAGTACTTACCTAGGAAGATGAGCAGCACGCCCACACCAATCTGGAGAACAAGGGAGATGGAGATAAGGACTACGAGGGGCACGAAGAAGGCGAAGCTGGGGCCCTGCTCGATGACGGCCTTGAGCTGGGAGGCGTTGGCCATCAGCAGGGCAATGTCCAGCATGCTCTCGGCCGCACTCTTCTTGTTGGCATAGTGGTTCACGTTGATGGGCCGGGTTCTCCAGCCCAAATGAGGTGGCTGTGGAATGAGGCACAATCAGCCCAGGCCAGTCAGATGATGTGGGACAGGGGTGCCTAAGCCCCATCTCCAATACCCTTCCTCCCCACTGTCACAGGCTGCAAGGGCCTGAGCAGTCCCCTCCCAATTCCAAGCTCAGTTTCCTCCCTGTGGACCGGCCCTGCCTGAAGTCCCTCTGTACAGCCTGGCCATATACATAGGGAGGAGGCGCATGCTCGGAGGGAGCTAGATTCCTGATCCCTGTACCCCTCCCCCGGCATGAAAACAGAGTCTCCTTTGGTGGAGGCCCTGCACCTCTGGACAGTGTGGCTCAAGACAAGCTGCTGATCGGTGGTCCCACAGTACCCTCTGCCAAAAGCCCACCCACCTCACTGGGTGACCCCGAGGGAACACACAGAACCCACCTGGCACCCGGGAGTTGCTCAATTAATGCAGTGGCATAATATACTTCAACTGAGCTCTGTCTTAAGTGTTAGGTGAATAAAATATGGATACAAGTACAGACATCTCCCTGGTCCTGGCGGACCACCGCAGAGGCACATCAAAGCCCTGCATCCATCACCAGCCTATCCCAATGCTGGCTGGATCGTCCCTACTTCCTAGGGTCCCCCCCACAGGTGCTCACTTCGTAGGCCCAACTGGCTCACTGAGGACAGTCCACTTCAGGCTGTGCCTGGTCCTCCCCCTTCCTAATCACCTGGAACAAACGTGCCTCCCTCAGCCTCCCTGCACCCTCTGTCGACAATGCTCCTAGGCCAGCGGTTCTCAACCTTCCTAATGCCGCGACCCTTTCATGCAGTTCCTCATGTTGTGGTGACCCCCCAACCATAAAATTATTTTTGTTGCTACTTCAGAACTATCATTTTGCTACTGTTATGAATCGGGCAACCCCTGTGACCAAATGGGTCACGGCCCACAGGTTGAGAACTGCTGTCCTAGGCCATCAGAAGGGGGCCACTGTCTCCAAGCCAGGTAGAAGCTCAGTACTTGGTGACGCTGAGTAACCCTGGGCTGCCCTGGGAGACCTTTTTCTGAGACGAATGAAAGCTGCATGAGGCTTCTAAATGGAAGGCCAGGAACCCAGCAGCCTGGGCCCAAGAAGGCGGTTAGGCGGAAACAGTAATGACAGAATGGATGCAGGGTGTCACACAGCTCAGGAGACAAGCACAGTAGTTAGAAACTGCCTCCGCTTCCTGCTAGCTTGAAATATCTCAAAATAATATTTTTTTAAAAATACACATTCTGGGAAAGCACAAGACAGTGATACAGAGCTAACAGAGGGGTGGGGGGGTTGTTTTGTGGTAAGTACTTAAATGTTTTAACTAAAGTGTGCAGGAAGACAGGGAGGCTGGCTCTTAGGGACATAAGCAGGCTCTGCTACAGACCTAGCTTCAGTGCTTTTTATAGAGGCAGTGAATTCCCAGGTTTCAAAATTCCAAAGACTTGGAGCACAAAGGGAAAGCCACCTCCTCTGCTAACTGCCTGCCCCTGACCCCAGGGTGTCACCGCAGAAGCATCACCTGTGCTGCCCCTTTCCAACTTGCTGGGTTTGTGCTCTGGCCAGGCCAGTACCTCTGGGAGCTGCCCCTGAAAGCCTGCAGGGGATTCGGTGTCCACAGGGGATGTGCCTATGCCTATGCCCTCCCAACCACACACAGGTTGTCCTACTTCTGCTCTTGCAAAGCCACCGCAGATGTCAGAAGGCCACCAGCTGCAGTGTGCGGGCTTCTAATTCCATAACGTTGGCCAGAGAACCCCTCTGATGGTGCCCCATCCTCATCCGATCCCATCCCCGGTTCTATCCTGGTAGCATCTTCCAGAAAGCACCAGCCTGTTTCCTCATCTGCAAAAGGAAGGCCAAAGCCCCCACTGCTGCCTCTGCCACAAGCCTGCATCTGTCAGGGCTGGATGCAAGCTTCCACCCAGCAGGCTTCCATCCCCTCATCGTGGCCTCAGTGGTGCCGCAGTGTTCTCATCTGTGGAGGGGAGCGGCGTCTGGAGGGCTGCGAGCACTTAGGCAACCGGTGGTCCTGCAGCACCCTGACTCGGGCCTGTCGGAGCTGTTCGGCTGGTGCTGATAGGCCTGAGATGTTACTCTGCCTTGTTGCCCCAGCTCTTGCCATTTTGAAGACTCTCCTTTGTAAGCAAGCCAAACTTACTACTAATTAACTCTATTACTTCATAATTAATATAGTTAATTGTTACAATCAGTAACAAGGAATGCCTGAGGCCCTCGGTCCTGACCCTTGGCAGGGGGCACTTCATCTGTCTTCCCACAGGTGCTCATGGTATGCCACGATCTGCCCTGGGTCTCAGGTATTAACTCATCTGCCCCAGAGCGACTGTCACAGGGCCTACATTACTGTTAGGCTGGTCTCCCAGGCCTACACATGGAGGCTCTATGGGTGGGGAAACGGAAAGAACATCTCTCTAGGATCACATAGAAAGTGGCTTGTACATCCAGGGAGTTATCCCCACCAGGGCAAGAGAGAGGGATTCAGATAGCAGCAGGACAGACTGACAGGAAGCCCCAGCAGGCAGCCCACAAAGACAGCAGAAAGTCCTGCTTTGGCTGGGATTCCCTTGGAGCGGATGGTCCACGCCTGTGGGCTTACTACTCTCCAAGAGTGACCTCTTAATGGATTTTAATGGCTGTGCTCCGGTTGTCTTTTAGAACTTAGCCAAGACATGGCTAGCCTCAGTAACTGCCAGAAAGCAGAAGCAAGGAAAAGCCGGTGGATATGCAGAAGGCAGGGCCAGAATGTCCCCAAGGATCCAGGGAGGGAAGGGCCATTCCAGTCTCATCATTGGCCACCACTCATAAAAGGGATCAGGGATTCCCTAAAAGTTCCCTATAGTGGTCATGATATCCGTAGAGGACACGGCATGCTTATTTCACCAATAAGTTAATTTTACTATTCATTTGTCACCAGGGAAAAACCGAATTGAAGCAATACTCCAGGCCTAAGGGCACACCCACTTCCTGACACTAGGAACACAGGGTCTGGTAGGACTCATTTGCTGTGGCCACACCATGTGTTGGGCTCCAGATAAGGGGCTTTCAAAGTGACTGACAGCCTTCCCCAGGAAGTGTTTGTGCTCTATTTTACAGAAGAGGAAACAGAGGCTCAGAGAGGTTTTATGCTAGCCTAGGGTCACACAGCTGGGGTTTCCTAAGACTAGCAGAGGATCTGAGGCCGGCTAGTTTCTCCACAAGGGCTCACTGAGCACCTACCATGTGTAGGTGTTATGTAGGAGCTGGGGTTACCGGAGGAGCTGTCCTGACAGGGTTTCTACTGTCAAAGAGACAGGTGTGAAGACCTAGAGCTTGTCTTCATGTAACTTCAAGGTATGACTCTGGGGGCAGAGAATCCCTCCCCAGTGCCTGTCCTTCCTTTTCCCAAGCACTTCCTTGCTTTCTGACTTCCCAGTGAGACTGGCATTCAGAGGGCTTACCCTGGAGAATGCATCCCCATCCAACAACTTCAAGACAATGGGCCCTTGCCACCCAGGAAAATGTCACTGTGGGGCTAGGTCACCCAAAATGCATTCAACCCAAGCGTCCCGTGCTCAGGTTTAATCACCTAATCATACTGCTTAGTTTCCCCTACATAAGAAACAAAACAAAACAAACAACCCTCTCTATTGCGATTAAAAGCTTCCTTTAAAAAAATACTTAAGGTAATAATAACAATGAAATTGTCAAAATCAAGACAATAATGAGGCTGTGTGCCAGGTCCTGATCCAAGCACTTAAATTTTCATGCCAACCCTCGGAGGAAGGCACAATTGCCACCCCCATCCCCCACTTTACAGGTGAGGCAGAGAGAGGATGGAGAGAGGAGGAGTGAGGATACGCCCGGACAGTGAAGCGACAGTGTCCTGAGGCTGGGATAGGAAACAGGAAGGCTGGCGAACAGGGTCCTGTGGTATATGGACCCCAGGCTGCATAAGCAGCGTGTTCTTGGGGGCTGGCAATCCCTCCAGGAAGCCTCCATGTATGTGACAAGGCACAGGCTCAGCCGGACCTGAGTGTCCCAGCTCCATTGTCAGAACAGAGCCTCATTCCTCCCTTGCTCACAGCACTCCCATGGCCCTCGTGGCCCAGGAGACCTGTGGTCTAGCCTGGAGGCCTCTCCTATCCAGCCTTTCTCCCTATAGCCCACAAACACCACCTCCACCCCCATACATCCTACCCAACCATGAATGTGCTCCAGTGGTCCAGCCTTTTGCTCTTATAATTCGCTCTGCCTGGGATGCCCTCCCACACATCTCAGAAGGTTAGAACCCTCTCTCCAGGGTGTAGCAATCCTGTCTACCACTTCCTATGGGAAGCCTTCCAGGACCCCTACAGACCCTTCCTCCACAGCCTGATCCTGAGAACTCAGCACTTCTCTTGGAGTCTCGTCTCACATCCTTGTCGGGATGGTTTCATTTCTCAGATTAAACTCTGGGGCCAGAGCATGGCTCACTCACCTCTAATGTCCAGAGTCAATGTGGTGACTCCAGTACAAAGCCAACCTAACTTCTCAGCGGGGGACCAGACCAGAAAGCGAGGCCATCTTTAAGGCTGTGCAGCGCAGACAGTTTAAGTCAGCTTCAAAACCCCACCACCTCTTTGTGAACCAGTTTGTTACCCCCACCTCCCTGGGAGGCAGGCAGGGCAGGGGTTCTTTGTTTCCTCCTTGTAAAACTACAAATAGAAAGCTCAGAGAGGTGAATTAGCTTCCCCAAGGTCACACAGCCAGGAGGTTCCCCCCAACATGTCCTCAAATTGCAACCACAGTGGGGTGGGCCAGCCCCAGGAGGGCAGAATGTGGCAGGGGTGACACACGCCCTGAGTGTTACTTCAAAGGGGTTTTTACTAATCAGAGCCGTTTCACTCACCAGCTGTGAGAGATCAGTAAGTTAACCCTTTTAAGATCAAATTGTTTTCGGCTTTTTTTTTTCTGAAACTGTGTTTTTGATAATGAAAGGCATTTTAAATGAAATGAGAAAAATTTTTTAGGTATTATGGACTTGATACTATTGGTAGGACCATATAGGTAACTCTTGAGGAACCTCTGGTGCTGGGGCTGGTGGGACAAGGCCCATCCCTGCAGATTTACAGAGTGATTCAGGCCTTCACCAAATGGCTGTATGCACTAATACTGGGAAGCCCGTTTCCCACTTAACCCAAGAGACAGAAAATGTAGGTGGGTACCCTATGTCCCATGGGCCACAAAGTGTTAAAATGAATATTTTCATGTTTGAGAGCCTGCACTGGTCCAGGCACAAGACGTAAGCTCACCCTACTGAGTATAGAAAGAGAAGAAACTTGGCTTTGAGCACATCACAGATAATTTTCATCAGTGAAAGCACGGAAGGCGCTGTTATAATTTTTCTGTGGTGCCATGATGTATTAAGTAAAAGATTAAGGCGCTTAACTTGCATTTCTGAGCTGAAAATGTTTGATCTGGTAAAATTATCTAAAAGGTGGCGTCAGATGAGCAATTCCAGTGCTTGCCACAAGTGCTATTTCCCACAGATTTGCCTCTGGCGGAATGGGGGAGGAGAGTGGAGCACCCCCTAGTTGGGTCCCAGGTGTGGCTTTTGGCCCCTGGACACCTCTCTCCTTGGTTTCTACAGTGCTCTCAGGGAATGGGTAGTCCCAGGTAAGTCCTGGCTGGCCTGAGCACTTAGTGAAAAGACATGTGGAGACCCTGGCCTAGTGGTTCGGACTTAGAAAAACTTCAATAAAATGGAGAGGATTATGGCAGGTGGCCAGAGGGGCCACAAGGAGGTGTCTCAACTTCCCTAAATGCCCTCCCCACCACACCTCTGGGGCCCTGCTTCAGAACTTTGCCTCTCCCCACTGCCCTGGCCCAGGAGGTCTCCATTATCTGCAGCCTCTGGGCTGTCTCAGCATCTGCCGGGTCATGAAGAACCCAGAGGCCACTATTCCCTACCTCCACCCCAAGCAGTTGGAAAATGAAAGCACGTCCAAAGTCAACAAACAAGTTTCAGAGGGCCAGTAGTGCACACAAGAGACGTATGTGTGCTAGGCTGAGGCTCAGGGCATGAATTCCACTTAGCTGTGGAGTGAGGACAGGAACTGAGGACTGGAGTGGGGAACGGGAAGATAGTGCTCAGAGAGCCACCAGCCCTCACGGGGAAGGCAGGGCGCTGCCCATGCAGGCCATCGGGGAAGCGCGGGCACTCTGTCCTCGAGGTCTGTGGGGACATGCTACCCAGTCTGGGGTGAGGGTGAGTGTGAGAGAGACGACATTCCCCAGCTCTGGGAGCCCGGGTGTCCACAAGGCAGTTGTGTCAAAAACAAAGTTACGCATCATAATCTATGGTCACCCGGCAGTGACATAACTGTTTGCCCGCTGCTGGCTTGGCGCCCGGGAAGCGGAGACATCTCTCCACCCACTGGGATATAGGGAGGTTGGAAGTTAGGAAGATAATGGGGAGAGAGGGGCTGGCTGGAGCTAGGCCAGAGATGAGTAGGGGCGGGGTGGGGGTCGGATTGGGGTTCCGAGGGGGCGCCCGGCTGGCGGCCAGCAAGGACCAGCGCAGGCTGCCAGGTGTGGGCGCCGCGCAGGCCACTGGGGTGCGCGCTCCAGCTTGCCGTTAGGCAGGGTGCCAGCCGGCTGGGGCTGGCTCGGTGGCTCCCGAAACCCTCGGCGCCCCGCGCTCCTACCTCCCCCGGGGAAAACAGAAAACAGGGACCCAACCCACAGCACTGGGCGGCCTGGGGCGGGGAGCCGGCCGCAGTGCGCACGCAGCGCCACAGGTGCCCGCACCAGGGGCCCAGAAACGGCGGCATCTGCCAAGGTCACGCCGCGTGGCCGCGATGGGGCGGGGGTTACCGAGGTGTCCGGGGAGCCCAGATGCACGTCGCCGTTGAGCTCGTGCTCTTCCGTGCCCGAGTCCATGGCGTGGCCGCCGGGACCGCTGTGCTCGCGGCCTAAGAGCCCGTCCGCGCCGCCGCCGCCGTAGGCCGCCTCCAGGGCCGGCTTCCCGCCGGGCGCCGCCTCCCTCGACTCCGAGCCGGCTCGGCGGCCGCGCTTGCCCCGCGCAGACCCCGCCCTGCCGCGGGGCGGGACCGGGGAGGCCCCAACTTGCCGGGGCCTGACACCCGACTCCTCCGCCGACTGGGCCCGGGGAGAGCCGGGACCGAGAGCCCGCGGGCAGAGAGGGCCAGCGGCCCCGCGGGAAGCGCTGCGAGCGGCAGGAGGTCCCCAGGGTTGACAAACCCGGGATCCCTTCTGCGCACCCATTGCCTGAGAACGTCCTCACCCAGGCTCCTGCAAGACCCCGGCCTGGGCAGACGGTGAACAGTTCAAGGCTGGACCTGAGAAATGTCACCAGATCCTGGATCGGTCCGTTCCGAACCTGGAGACACAGACAAGCCAAATAGCCCACATCTGATAAACCCCCTAGACAGAGCTCTTGGGACAGCAACTCACTCGAGACCCCCACCTGCTGCGTCGGGGACTTTTCTTTTCATTCCAAATAAATTTTGCTTTCCTCTCGCCGCCGATTGTGGTCCGTGGGTCCCTTTGGTTCACACGAACACGAACCCCTCCCTGGGACACATCACAGCAAGTGAAACGCTGGGACCGAGCCTGGCATGCCCCCCTCGGGTGAGCTAAGGTCTGGAGGGGCCTCGTAGGGCACCCCACAGGCATCCCACTGCTAGGGCAAGCTTGGAACCCCTCCCCGCACCCCTCGGTCCCTAGGCACTTCCAGCCTGCCTCCCAGACGCTGGCCTCTTGGCAGCGCTCAGAAACTCCATCTTGGGTCTCGAATCTATAAAAGGGAGCCCCCATCGGCCTTTTGTTGCACCTGCTTTGATGTGCGCGAGAGTTGGTTTCTCAAACTAAATGGGCTCGTCAACCACCGGAAAGGTGGGGGGTTTATTGATTAGAGGTAGGGCACTCGGCTTGTCTGTCTTTCCAGGGTAGGAACCAACCAATCCAGGGCCTGGTCCAGTCACGAAGCGGTTCATGGTTTGTCCACGCTGGGATCTTGCAAGAGCATGTACTCAGACTCAGGCAAGAGTCAGCCGACTCACTCTCATTTACTCACTCTCTAATTCACTCACTCTCAATCAATCACTCTCATTCACTCACTCTCTCACTC